CCCGCCGAGGGCCGCTTGGACCCCCGGGGTGGGGATCCGAGGGCCGGGTCCTTTCTCAGGGTCACGCCTGTGGAAGTGCAGGCCAGGGGAGGAGAAAGGGGTGTGGAGGCAGCAGGATCCCCAGTTGAGAGAAGGGAAGTATGAGGACGTGCGGAATTTGGGTCTAGAGAGTCAGAGGCTGCATTTAAATGTTCGGTAGAAAAGTTTAAAGAAATATGTTTTTTAGAGATATCATCAAATACATTCTTCCTTCCCCTTCGGAGACAGAGGAAAAGGAAAAAAGGAAACACTATGTATTGTGCTTTTTAGAAATATCAAATATCATCCTTCAGAGACAGAAGAAGGAAAATAAGTGCTATGCATTGGCCGGGAATCGAACCCGGGCCTCCCGCGTGGCAGGCGAGAATTCTACCACTGAACCACCAATGCAGACAGGAGAGCAGCTTGCGATCATCTTATTTGAGCTTGGAAAGATTGATGCAACTGTAAGCCCTGGGCTCATGGAAGGAGAGGCCCCTAATGGTTAACGTGGGTGGAACGCCAGGTCATTCTTCCTCCCGCCTGGATCCGGCCACCCGGCCATAAAACCAGTCCATATGGCCAGGGGCGGCCCCACACCCGGGTGCGAACAGCCCAGGGCCCCGAGCCTCGCGTGCAGGTGAGAAAAACTCAACCCGAGCCCAGGTTCCCAAGGAGGGGGGCGGCGGGGGCGGATGGGGCCATACATCTGCTTTCCCATTTGGCCCAGGTAGGGGGTTGTGGGGTGTACTGGGAGGTGGGGAGCCCTGATTCCAAATGGAAGCCCCCTTCTCAAGGTCTTGGCCCGTTCAGACTAGGACTTTGGTAAGACAGGCTCCGCGAAAATACCAAGATGTGGAGGGGCGCTGGAAAGGTTTGGAGGCAGCTCCACTTGTCTCTGATTCCACAGCTATCTTCCATCTCTATCAGTAACCCTGTCTTTCTGTGTCCTTGTCACTGTCACTCTTGTGATGGCTCATCAAATTTTTGATTTTTCTTCTCAGGTATTTCGTCCTGAAATCTCCAAGTGTTCACCGATCTTTCTGCAGAGGGTCATGTTCTTGGTTTGAGGTAGGTGTTGATTCTCTTTTTGTATCCTTTTCTTTCTTTTTTAGGAAAACTTCCTGCTCCCCTATAGTCAGGAGGGTCCTCCAGAAGCAGGCAACTCAGGCACACTTGTGTAAGGTGTCCGGGCAGTGAATTTAGTTTTAAACCAAATACTTGTAAGTGGAAAGATCTTAACTCCTCTCCATACTTTAAAGATTAAATTCTTTAAATAATAGATTTAACACTTTAAAGACTAGATTCTTCTTCTTTGAAGTCCATCTTCAGTCAAGGTATTTTTTCTCAGAGTACCTACTTCACTTTGTTTCTATAATGGCTGCTTTTCCACTAGATCTGCGGGATAAACTAGGCCTCTTGTTATATGAACTGTCCAAACCTAGATTAGTAGCCCTTGTGCACAATGAGGGCGCAAGATATTGGATAAGTGAATGTAATTGATTTAGAACAGAGCGCTTTTTCCACTCCCAGGCAGAGGCCCAGCACAGTTGGGTTGCTCTATGTATGAAGCAGGAAAGGTACTTGGGGGGGGGGGAAGGTGTATAATATTCAGTTTGGAGGCTGAGAAGTGCTTTTATTTCAGTGCTAGTGGGGGTACAATGAGCCTACAGAAAGGCTGCAATTCTAGGAGAACTCCGAATTTCATCCTTAAGTGAGGTCTGTCCTTAATTACTTAAAACTCCCTCTACCCCTAATAGCCTCCTCCTTTCAGCTGGGTCCCGCCTCTTTATACAGCCTTATGGTCCTTATACCAGCCGGTGCCTCATTCCCCCATCACTTCCCACACTCTCAGGCCAGTTCCCCTCCCCCTTTCACTCCTAGTCTTTCCGGGAGCCTCGTGCCGGGGTCTTTCCCGGGTGGGATCTAGGTGCTGAAGGGGGCGGGGCCGTATTCTATCCCTCCTACCCGGGCGCTGCGGGATATAAGGATCCAGACAAGCAAAGACCCGGTCCGCGCCAGGGTCCGGAGGAGCAATGGTCACCCGGGATCGAGCAGAGAATAGGGACGGGCCCAAGGTGAGAGGCGGGAGGGGTGGGAGCAGAGGTCCTTGGTCTGGCCGGGGGAACCTGGGCACTGAAACAGTGGGTCGGTGGTGAGGCCGGGACATAGGGCTGAAATAGGAGAGGTGTCCAGGGGACCCAGGGACCCAGGAACTGGAAAGGAAGCTGCAAAGTGTGAAGGAGGTAGTGTCTGAGTAGGACCTGCGTGGGCGGCGGAAGGAGAGTTTTTGGGGTCTGGGTAACCTGGTCATTCAGCACCTTATGGCCTAAGGGAGTGGGAGGGGGCCAGATTTTCAATAAAACCAAGAGGATATAGTCAAGGGCTAAGGGTAGGAACAAAAAGAGAAGAGGATGGGCATTCTCCACTTAGGCCGCGAGCCAGGACTGTCTCAAGGCGGTCTTGGAGAGAAAGCCCTGGGTTTTTGTTCCAGAGGTTCGAGATCCGGTTGAAGATTTTAGGGTGAGCAAGTGGAGAAGGGTGACGGCCTAGACGGGTTTGAGGGAGAGGAGGAGGCGCGGTCGCGCTAGGTGTCTCCCTTTCTACACTCAGGGCCGCCAGCTCTGAGCCCCGCACCGTGCGGCCCACTTGCCTGGGCGCAAAGAGGGTCTCCAAAGTTCTCCACTGAGACAGAGACCGCACGAGATCGAGACGTAGAGAGAAAAGAGGAGAGACACAGAGAGGGGAGGAGGGAGGACGAGACTGAGAGGAGAATGCAGAAGATCCGGGAGAGAGAGGAGGCGAGCTACAGAAGCGGATCCTAGGGGCGTCGGGGTGGGGGCGGGGGGAGCGGAGGTGGAACGAATGGGCTCCGCCCTAGTCAATCTGGGATCCTGGGCAAGGGGTGGGAGGGGGCTCTCCCAGCGGCGGGATCCAGACGCCGGTGCGGCTGCGCTGAGTCTTGGTCCGGTGGGCCCGCTCTCCCTTTCCCGCTGGTCGCAGATGCTCAAGCCGCTTGTGGAGAAGCGGCGCCGGGACCGCATCAACCGCAGCCTGGAAGAGCTGAGGCTGCTACTGCTGGAGCGGACCCGGGACCAGGTCAGTCCCTCCACCAGTCCCGGACCCCCAAGCAACCCATTCCCGCGTCCCAGGGATTCCCACTGGGGTTGCGGGGGGGGGCGCATAGGCTGGAATGGTGACCCTGGCCCCAAGACATCCTGACCCGAGCCCGGTCTTTGGAATCCTATCCCAGACACCCCCCACCCCCCACCCCGCCTCTCATTCTCAGAGGGCAATCTTCTTCGCCACCCCTCGGGTCTGTAAGTTTCCTTTCAAGTTCTGTGAATTTCGCTCCCAGGGTGGGTCAGTTTCACCTTCGGGTTTCTAAATGTCCCCTTTCCAAACATTCCCCAAATCAGCCAGCGTCAGTTCTACCGGTGGTTTTCACTCGCTGGGTTGCTCTTTCAAATCTCCTCACATATTGGGTATTGGTTCCATCCCCTGGGGCTGGACAGTTTCGTCTCAGGGTGGGACAGGACCATTCGTGGTCATCTCACTCCACATTCGGTCGCGCGTTCTATGGGCAGCGCGCAATTGCGTTCCGGGGGCACCCCCAGCTCCCGTATCCGCCCCTCCCTTCTTCCCCCTGCCACTTTCCCCCTCTCTCCCCACCCCTTTCTGTCTCTGCGCCCTCCCCTCCCGTCTGTAGAACCTCCGGAACCCGAAGCTGGAGAAAGCGGAAATACTGGAGTTCGCCGTGGGCTACTTGAGGGAGCGAAGCCGGGTGGAGTCCCCGGGTACAGCGCCGGGGTCGGGTAGCTGAGGGAGGGAGGGAGGACCTTTGGAGGCTCGGGACGGGGAAGCTGGGGAGGGCCCTGCGGTGGACGGTGGGCTTGGGGAGTGGCAGACTCTACTCCTAGGCGAGGTTAATAACACCCGCGCGTGTCTGTCTCTGTGTCTCTGTCATTTTCTCCCTCTGTACATCCATCTGGCTTCCTGTCTCTATGCGCCCGTCTGATCTCGGTATCTCTGCGCCCGCCCCTTCCCTCACCCCTGCTGGGCCCCTGCCCTGCCCGCCTGTCCTCCCGCCGGCCGCACCCGCCTCTGCGGCTCCAGGGATTCCCCGGTCCCCAGCCCAGGACGCCGAGGCGCTCGCCAGCTGCTACTTGTCCGGTTTCCGCGAGTGCCTGCTCCGCTTGGCGGCCTTTGCGCACGATGCCAGCCCGGCCGCCCGAGCCCAGCTCTTCTCCGCGCTGCACGGCTACCTGCGTCCCAAACCGCCCCGGCCCGAGACCGTAGATCCCAGGCCTCCAGCGCCGCGCCCACCGCAGGACCCCGCCGCACCAGCCCTTGGCCTGGCGCTACACCAGCGCCCCCCAGTGCACCAGGGCCCCCCTAGCCCGCGCTGCGCCTGGTCCCCATCCCTCTGCTCCCCCCGCGCCTGGGATTCCGGCGCGCCGGCGCCCCTCACCGGACTTCTGCCGCCGCCACCACCGCCTTACAAACAAGACGGGGCGCCCAAAGCCCCGCCACTCCCGCCGCCCGCTTTCTGGAGACCTTGGCCCTGAGCTTTTGGGGGTGGGGTGGGGGCGGGGGCTGGGGGAGGGGTAGAGACTCCAGCCGGAGGGCAGCAGAGGGACCCGGGCATCCGGGCGAGGTGTTGGGGAGGGCGGCGGGGCGCGCGGGCTCAGCGCGCGGGTGAAATGTGGTCTATATTAGAGTATCTATATAAATATATATTTCCCTGGTTCCTGTCCCTTTCCCTGCCCCCAACCCCGCGTCTAGGATTGTACCTTTCTAACCCCAGCCCAGCCCCAGCCCCTTCCCGAGTCCCTAGTGCATGGAATAAAATGGTTATTAAATCCCGGTGTGTCCCGGAGCCGGGGGCCTGCCTTTATCTCGGCGTCCACGCCCACTTTCCCTTCCCTTCTGTTTCCCACCCCCAGTCCTACTCTCCAAGGCCCAAGCTCCGGGGTAGACAGGTAAGTAAAGAAGAGAGCAGAGCGGATACTGAGGTTGGAGCTGAGACCAAGACGAAAATGCAGATAGGGCAGGGGGAAAAGGTCGGACAGAGAGAAAAGAACAAACCTTGAAATAAAACCGACTCTGGTGGGATTCGAACCCACAACCTTTGAATCGCTCTTTCGTCACTAGAAGTCCAATGCGCTATCCATTGCGCCACAGAGCCACCTGGCGGGCGGTGGCGTCTCGTAGCTTACGGGTAGTAGCATGGGGGAAGGGGCAGAATGACAATGTTGTTGATAGGAAATTGGGCGGGGCGTGTTAGGAGCCTATGGTTAGGATCTCCGAGGCCAGCCGGGGAAAAGTATGTTGCTCAAGCACGTGCGCCAGGTGGGAGTGAGGGCGCACAAGTGTTCCAGAAACAGAGAGGGAAAGCCAACAAACAGGAGCGAGCAAACAAGTGCAGAGCTTCGGCTGCCGGCTTGGAAAGTGCTTCCAGCTCAGGTGCAGTCCAGTCCCACGTAGCCCCACTAAATAAACGTGTTTTGCTATAAATTTCTGAGTCCCTGTCTTTTGGTTTGTATTGCCATTGTCACGATGCAGTTCAGAGGCTCGACGGTTCCCTGTTCTTGAGTTTTAAATGTGAAAAGGGAAACTAGTCAATTTAACGTTATCGTCTCCAGCCCCATTTTCCTTCTGCTCTCTTAGGAGGACAACGAAGACGACGAGCTCCCATGCAGGTAGCGTGGCCGAGCGGTCTAAGGCGCTGGATTTAGGCTCCAGTCTCTTCGGAGGCGTGGGTTCGAATCCCACCGCTGCCAGGCCAGAGTTTTTCCCTTGAGCTTTATTCTCGTGAATGAGTGCCAAGAGCACACCAGTGGTGTGTAATTTTACAATGACCATCGAGGTGTTTTAACTGCTGACTGTTCTCTTTGGTTTCCGAAGCCGATAGTGGATATACATAGTGGATATACATCCATACCCCAAGCCAAGATCTGACAGAAACTGTTTGTGTAAACCTGTATTTTATAGTTGGTCTTCATTTTGACATCGTCCCCAAGTATAACTATCTCAAGATTAATACGACTTCCAAAATATCTCAATATCCAGTAAGTTATCCTTGGATGTCTGTTATAGTGGCTGCAACTATCCTGTTTGAAGACTTCAGAGAAAGATCTTAAGTAGCTTCTCTCGGGGTCGCACTAGAATGTCACTTACAAAATCAGCAAATAATACATCGGATGTAGTGGTATCAAACTTAAGAAAAGTTAAGGTTCCACCGAGATTTGAACTCGGATCGCTGGATTCAGAGTCCAGAGTGCTAACCATTACACCATGGAACCCCTCTTTTGGGCCCTTCTTCGAAGATTATATACATTACTTAACACCCTATTTTGTCATTTACGGAAGCCCGAACAACCGCTCCCGGTTACTGAGCATTTGAAATATTAATAAATATGTACTGTCAATGTCTAACGCTTAAGGCTGTACGAAAAAAGAAAAAATTTATTAAAAATGCATATTAAAATAAGAATCGGGAGATGGGGTTAAGTAAATATACTATTAAGATACTTCACCCTATTCTTTTTACTCTTTTTGATGTGGTTACTAAAAAATTTAAATATATGTTTGTGTAGCTTTTGCTACCTTCCCTCGGTCATTCGTTCGACTTTCTTGAAAATAAATCCCTGACCCACCTAACACCATTTCCTCTTAAAAGAAGGTACTGTATTTTCCTTTTTATCATGCTTTTGTTCAAAGGAGAACTGTTAATATATTAGCTGTATTCGAAAACAAACCTCACAGATGGGGGGAAAATAAAATTCAGACGCCCGAACAGGGACTTGAACCCTGGACCCTCAGATTAAAAGTCTGATGCTCTACCGACTGAGCTATCCGGGCTCTTGCGAGTAGTGCTTTCTCTTATGTACAAGAGGTTTCTGATACGAAAGCGCAGGCTTGTAGAACGGTTTAAGAACTGTGTGCTTTTAGGCAAAGGACCCTGACACCCACTTGGAGAAAATGGTTGCGGCGCACCAGCTGCTAATTGAACTTTTTTCACTTTCCTTCTTTAGAACGCTGTGAAGGCTGAAACTCCGGCAGGAGCTTCGCGGAGTCTGAAACCTTAGATGCCCGAACTGGCCGCGCGGGGCCGCTGCGGGCTACAGCCTTTCCTTCCCAAAAAGTTCCTCTCTGGCCCCTGTGACCTGCATCCTGGAAATCTCGGGCTCTCGGGCTCCCAGGCTCCCGCCCACCGGCGGCAATCTGAGGGCGAACCAGGAGCGAAAAGAATGCCACTTGAGCTCTTTAGATGCTGTGCCCTAGGACTCTATTTTATTCTCTCCATCGGCCCTTTTCCAAGGGAGAAACTGAGATCGGGTGTGCCAAAGGCTGGAGATAGGGCTGAGTGTGCGGAGAGTTGGAGAGCTTTTACTGACCTCCCCGTGGTGTACTGTGCTGGGATGAGTATGCGTCCCACCTGCAAGTGGCTATAGTCACGTGTGACTTATGACCGTAAGCGGCTCACCTGTGAATAGTGAGTGATTCACATAGATGATTCACGTGTAGGAATTCGGATCCTCTGTGCTCAGTTTTGTCTGGGAGATAGGAGAAAAGGGTCTTGGAGAAAATTGAGGAGCGGGTATATAAAGGCCTCAGGGATCAGTCAAGTCTCCTGAGTCCCAGGAGAAGAGCAATGTTCCAATGATACAGGCATCATCTCCTCCCTAACTTTGTTCCTCCCTCCCCAGTGGACCCAGGCTTCTGATATTCATCTGGGTGAGCCAGCCAGAGGGACCGGCTGTGCAAGCAAACAAATATTGGGGTGCAAGTCTGTGGGCGGGGAGAGGAAGTCCAATCCATCAGCCAGAATCTTCGGTGAGAGAGGAAAGCAGGTGCATCCCAGAGAGAGCTGGGACCTTCCTCAGGCCTATCCTTCCCTAGCCCCTAGCCCTCAGCATCCCACCCTGCCGCGACTGTTGGTCACCTCCTCCAGGCCATTTGCTGCTGTGGCCAGCGTTGCCTGGGCCATTCTTCCTTTCCTCCCACCATGGCAGTGTACCGCCTGTGTGTGACCACTGGTCCCTATCTGAAGGCAGGTACACTGGATAACATCTCTGCCACACTGGTGGGCACGTGTGGTGAGAGTCCGAAGCAGCGGCTGGATCGAGTGGGCAGGGACTTCGCCTCTGGATCGGTAAGTACAAAGGAGAAAGAGAAAAACCTCTGAGGGGAAGGGCCCCGCAGGCACCCTGAAGAAGGGGAGGGGATGGTTATCCCTGCTGGACTCTCCTGTTTTTGCTGAACTCGGGATGCTCGCCCTGACCTCTTTTCTGGGATGATAAACCTTACCTAGGCACTACGGTACAGAGGAAGGAGTACAGGCAGAGGTTTCCTGGGTCCTCCCATAATGGACAGTGGGCTTTGGGCAAGTCTCTTTCCCTCTCTGAGCCAGTTTTCCCTTCTCTAGAGCAGATCGCTTGCCTTCATCAGTCTCAAGGTTATTTGCTAGTGGCCTACGTTAGTGTGTCCCACCAACCAAGGTGGCTAGGGAAATCCAGTGCCAACTCTTCTCACACATTCCCTGCTTCTACCTGGATGAGGGGCTGCATTTTTCTCATTCACAAAGGAACTGCGTGGGTCAGCAGCAGCTCAGGTTTATAAGTTGGCATAAGCCGAGATGTGGATGCACCTTGCAGAGTGCAAGGTTGGCCTTACCAGTTACCTGCCTTTCACCAGCTTGCTCCCTTGGTCACTCCAGGTACAGAAGTACAAGGTGCGCTGCCCATCAGAGTTGGGCGAGATCTTGCTGCTGCGCCTTCACAAGGAGCGCTACGCTTTCTTCCGCAAGGACTCCTGGTACTGCAGCCGCATCTGTGTCACTGCCCCAGATGGTACCATTGTCCACTTCCCCTGTTATCAGTGGATTGAGGGCTACTGCACCATGGAACTGCGGCCAGGAACAGGTGGGCCAGAGGGTAGGGCTGCTCTGTACTCCAGAAAGTATCTTTTGGGATTAAGGGTGGTGGCTCCCTGTGTGCAGGATGTATGACATAGGGATGGGATTAGGAACTGTGTTTCCACGAAGATGTTTTCTGAAAAATGTGCTATTAATACTCTGAAATGCAAAGTCTTTCTGGGCAATATTTACTCCTCTTCAGGCACACACAGACATACACTCTTACACACACACACACACACACACACACACACACACACACCCCTAAGCAATTTGTGTTCCACAGCCTCCATCTGCACTCTTAGATAATTCATCTGGAACCCAGAAGGAACTATCAAGCTAATTAGATTTCAATAGGTGGAGAAGCCCTGAATGTATAGACTGTAGCTGGAGAGTCCCAGTCCCCCATTTTTAGCTTTTCTAGAGTGAATGAATGAAATCCCTGAGAGGTGAGTTTGAATCCCTTGTTGAATTTGTGGGGTCTTTTCAAGGATATTGGGCTTGAGTCCCTCTTGACTCCAGAGCTGGCATCTCCACAGAGGAAACAGCAGGCTTGCTCTGTTTGTTGAGATGAGTGTCAAGGATGAGTGATGATATTCCAGGTCAAGGGTAGTTGAATGAACATGGCCTCATATACTTCACTATGAAATGCCATTCTTCCGTACAGTGCATCCATTAATCCACAAATATATTTGTTTATTAGTTGTTTCCCAAGTGCCTGTTATATGCATGGTGACTGGGGCCATGCCAGATGCTGTGAATACAAAAAAATGAATAGAGTGTGACCTGCCTTCAAAGAGACAACAGTCTAGAGATGATTTTTTTTAAAGGAAAAAGTTAGAAAAGTGTTATAATTTGGGGATGTAGTTGACTCAAATCCCTGATGAGTGCATGAAGAACATGGGAGCATTCCCCACTTAATGCACATGAAGATGGCTGTGAGATTGGTCTCAAGTGTTAGGAGGTGCAGGCTATGTTTGTAGGAGGAGGTGTTATTTGAAAAGAGACTTATAAGAAGAATAATTTTCATTCCCTGCAGCAAAAACTATTTGTCAAGACTCTCTTCCCCTTCTTCTGGATCACAGGAAACAGGAGCTCCAAGCCCGACAAGAATGCTACCGGTGAGGGTGGGCTAATTTGACTTTTTTGCCCGTCTGTATTCTGACTTCAGTTTTAATCAGATCGTTCCTAACTCTGACATGGGTTTTAACCTCAGGGGCCCAATTCTGATCAGGACCTCATTTAAATCTAACCCCAAGCCAGGCAAAGTGGCACTGGCTTATAATCCCAGCAATTACAGAAGCGGAGGCAGGAGGATTGCAAATTTGAGGCCAGCCTGAGCAAATTAGGGAAACAATGTCTCAAAAAAAAAAAAATAAAAATAAAGGACTTGGAATGTAGCCCAGTGGTAGAGCATGTGTTGAGCATGCTTGAGGCCCTGGGTTCAATCCCTAGCATTGGAAAAAAAAAAAAATCCTATCCGGATCTGAAGCCCAGTGCCTTCATTGAGAAATTTCCAATTCTCTGTTGCTTGCCCCCAAAGTGAGTGGTTTCTGGAGTTTTAATCTGAAGTCATATTTTTAAAAACTCAAGCTTC